GCTTGGTCTTTTGAGAGCATATATTAAACTACAAATAAAAGGCAGGAGCAGGGGTAAAAATAGCTCGCCTATACGTAGGTTGCAGAATTGAACTGATCCGATCTGATGAAGCTGCACCAGCACCTGATTCTTACATGATTAAGTAGGACGATGCATTTAAGTACAGCTGTTAAAGCAGCTCCTCCTCCTGTTGTCTCCTTCAAGCTGTTAGCGCTCGGTCTAATTAGCTGCCTTGTTGAAAAATTTGGTTGCTGCCTTTAAAAGCTCCCTCAGGCATGGCTGAGAGGGGAGCAGGAACTGCGGCATGTGCTGCAGAGCTCCACATTTTACAACTTTCCTACTGAGAGCCGATCAAAGTTTTCTTCCAGCTTTGGTATTTGACGTCTTTGAGGTCATTCGGGATCTTAAAGCGATGCTGGATTTAGCGGGGCACAGTGGGAAGTCCAAACTGTCAGGGAGCAAAGTGGCGTCACTCTGACTCCTCTGACAGCGATAGATCAGGTGTGCAGACGGGTGAGCGTACGCAGGGTTCGAACTTCTCTCTCAAGCTCTCTTTTTCATATTTCACCAACTACTTCTGTCAGTGTTTACGAGAACAGCTGAGCGCTAAACTATAAATGCAGGCTGGTATAATTCATCGTATCAGGACAACAGAGACTCACAAAAGATGCAGAGTTGCTGGAGAAGGATTGGGGCCAGGGGGAGGTGATGGCAGTTTGATTTTCTGTTCTCACAGACACAATAAATTCAGATAAACCAAACTGCATCACTGATGCTGCTTTAATGTCATGTAAGAGTTTTGGATATTATGAGTTTCCAACTTCTAAGTAGCGTTTCATAGATGTCAGAATTGTGACTGGGACACTGTTGGACCTTGTAAAGGATCTCTGTGAGAAAGTATTAGGGTGAGGTCATCAGCATAAAACAGAACAGGAGGAAGATACGAGATTTTTGAGAATAAACTCCAAATGTTGAAAGCAAAATTGAACTTTTAGTATTATCCCTGGCATTTTAAAAAATCAGAGACAAAAGGATTTTTGGAGAGATTGATGTGACACCAACACCTGCCAAGATGCAGACATCACTGCGTTTTCAACGACTTTTTAGCAACAACAAATGCGGGTGTTACTTAGCGACACATCTCTGTGTTTCCAGCCAGGATAGTGGTGCCAAAAGCAGGTATTTCAAGCCAAGACGGTCCGTGTATCATTCGTTCATTCCATTTTCAATTTAAAATCAAAAATCAAAAAACGAGAAAACGGTTTATGTTTTTCTTATTTTTGATTTTATGCTCACATCAAAAATAGCAAATTGAAAAATGGGCCACGACTGAAATTTGATTTTGATTTTTCATTTGATCCAACTTGCATGACCCGGAATTGAATTTCCCTTAGGGGACAATAAAGTTTACCTTACCTTACCTTACTTTATCTTACCTTACCTTAATTATTTTCTACAGAAGCGCATTGCATTCACTGGATAAAAAATTTTTAGACAACTATGCCCAGCAACAGGTCAAAAACAGCAATGAGTCGTTAAGGGTGCTGTCAGACAGTCTGAATCAGGGACTCATGTTGTTCCAAAGTTGTATAATTGCCTAGAGTTGGTTCGTGTTCTCACGGCAGCATTTACAAGAGGACCAGATCAAATGCCTTGTGTGAGAAAGCTGCTCTTGATTGGTCAGAATTTCCACGTGGGAAAAATCCAGGAAGTAAAGCAAACGTTGAAGAAGAGTACACTTGCAAGGCCGCCTCTTCAAGAAGGTCTCAGTGCAACCATGAGTGTGATTGCTGTGTTCACACCTGGCCGAACGAACCTCACCGAGGGGGCAGACGAACTTGAGTTGAGCATGGCAGGTTCCTCGCCTAGGTATCACGCCATCCACCTTCCAAGTATTTGTGATTTTCTTTTGGCGAGTGGGCTGAAAGTTCGTCAAAGTTGATCTATGACCACTGGCCTTTGAGCCTCAGCTCTTCCTGCCCCTATCCTGACTCTCCTCTTGCTCCTTTTTTCCACGTCCTCTCCTACTTGACGATATGTAATTTGAACGGGGAGCCTGAACTGAGTCATTAAATCCACTCCTGATTTACTTTAAGGGACAAAAACAAGACGCCTACTGCTAATATCCATCAGAGACAACACAGACAATAGAGCTGAGATCTGAAACGAACTCACACTTGCAGAGCTTCTGGTTGCTATTTCTGTTTCTGTTGTCAATAAAGAAACTGTTTCCACAAACAGCACATAAACGCAATAAAACTGGCCCCGGAGTCAGTAACGATCCGCACATTGTGAGACTTGAACAGGCTCTATAAATAAAGTTGAGTGGAGCTGCGGGGGAAATGGCTCGTGCAGCAGGACGGTCTCCTGCTAATGAGCCGCCGTTCGTTGAGGGTTTGGTGATTAAACGCTGTCAGCGAGCTAGAATCCCTCTGCGGCCGCTGTCGTCTGGGCATCACCATTAGTGATCATAAAAACAGTGGTAGGAGCTTTATTTTAAAGGGTTCTGTCTTGTGCATGCAAAAAGGACGTGAATTTCACAATAAAACGTTATAAAAAGTCAACTCTCCATATAAATAAAACATCGGTCTGGTGTCTGATGAGATTTATTAGCTTTAAATGAGAATCATTATTTAAAAGAGCATAAAAAGGCTCACACTGTATGTAGGTATGATTGGTCTCGCCCACACTCAGAAACAGCTTCAGTCTAATAGACCTTCCTCTTTCATCTCGTCAAACGATTTGTTCTCGCCGCTGTATAAAGCTGCTGTCACTGCAGAGCGGGGACGTTGCTCTGGAGCTGACAACGACTGGAGAAGACGACAAAATGTCTGGAAATGAGCTTTCGAATGCAGCCTCGGGGGGAGGATTCCCCGCATGTGAGGAGTCTGCTCAGGACTGGATGATTCAGAGAACTAAAGCCTCTCTCTGCTCTGATGTGACACTGAAGTCACATATTTGCTGTTTTCATGATTCTGTGTGAGATTAGTGACGTTTATGTCCTGATAAAGATTTCAAAGAAAGAGCGTTCACGTAGAATTCTGCAGCTTTTTGAACATGTTGGCCTTGAGTCACATTTCTACTCACTGACTGCAGAAAAGAGGAGGGCCAGCTGTTGCCCTGCAAAGTCATAAAGTCCTGACCTCTGTTACCTTCTTTGCAACATGTGTTTGGCATGTTCGCTATTTTTAAACTCTGCACAGTCAAGAAAAAAAGATCTACTGTGATGAAAGTCGTTTTTTTGCATTTTGAAAATGAAATCAAAATGTCCAAAACATTTTTTTACTGCAACATTGCTGCTTTTCCTGCCACAAACAAATGGGTGAGGTCACGGTGGCTACGTCCATCATTTTTATGCAGTCTATATGCCGACCTTTAAGGGACGGAGAGTCCAAAATGGAGGAAGCGATTGTAGTTGCAACCTTTCCTACTGAATGGTTCTCAACCTTTTTTGTGACAGTGACCCCTAATTGATACACATTAGGTCATGGACCCCCACAAAGCAAGATTTCACCCCAGGGGCCTCCATCTGAGAAGATTTTGGTTGTAAAATATGATTAAGGCCCCCTTCAGGAATCGCCACCTTTGTTTGTCCCCATGATCCTGGGAGCTGTGTCGTCCGGGGTAAGTAGCACCTGACGCAGTCTCCCAAGGCAAAGAGGGGCCAGACTAAAGCCCCTTTTACACTGCCAGATTTTCGGCGAATGTTGAGCCGTTTTGCCGGCAAGCTGCGAGCGTTTAGACACACAGAGCTGGATTGGCGAGTTGATCCGAGGTGCCCAATTTTCCGCCTCATAGGGTAGACATATTGGTGGAACCCTTTTAGTTTAAGAAGAACGAGGCGGCCTTCTGCCACGGGAGGGGCTGTTGATGACTTGTGGGAGGAGCTGTTGATGACGCCGCACGTGTGAGCCACTGGCGGTGGATAAACAGGAAACAGCTGATAGCAGGAATTAGCGAGCAGCTAGTAGCAAGAGGGAAACACAAACCTGACAGACACTGTAAAGATGAGCAACTGGGGAGACAAGGAATTGCGCGCCCTCCTTGTCCTCGCAAACGAAGAGGCCATTAACCGTCAGATGACGGGGACGGTGAAGAACGGGCCGACTTACGAGAGAATCGCCGAAGGACTGACCAGCCGCGGCTTCCCTCCCACGTCACTGTTTACGTCACATGCTGAGCTACACGTTTTGTTACTTGCTCCACGCCCCCCATTGCCCCGAAAAAGGCTCATTCTGTATAAACAAAAGTAGGTAGGCGGCATTTTGCTGCACTCCCCGATTTTGTTTTTATACTGCCAATGCTGAAAAAAGACTGATTGGGCTTTCCTGCTAATTTGCACAACTCCTGTGTAAAAAGGGTTTAAGACTCTGATGAAACGCCGAAATCTGACTCTGAGTACCTCACCTGGTACAGGGACACCAGGGCCTCCCTCTGGGTGATGAGTTAGACTGGTTCTAGGGATGTGGAACGTCACCTCACTGGTGGGGAAGGAGTGGAGCCAACTAGATAAAGTTGGTCTCACCTTCACGCACAGCGCTGGTTCTGAAATCTAACCTCCTCAACCATGGAGAAAGTGAACCTATGATCAGAATAGTCACTCTTATGACTGTTACTCAGGGGGGGCTTGCATTGAGCTGGGAGGCGGGGTACCCCCTGGTGTCCCCCTGGGGACCCCCTGGAAGTCCCTAAAGGACCACTGCGGGGCCCCGAGCCTTGGTTGAGAACCACCGGCTTAACCTGTGATAATACATCATAATTCATTTGTTGATTTTTCCATGTTTTTTTTAATTATTCATTTATTTAATTATTTATTTGTTACAAAGCACTTTAACTTTGTTTAGAGATCTGATTAGCTTCACTCTACCACTACTGTAGTGTGTGTGTGTGTGCGTGTGTGTGAGAGAGATTGTGTATGTGTAGCCACGCCCCCTCCCAGTGACGCCACCCACTCTCATCCACCACACCGCAGCTCCTTCAGTCCTCCGGCAGACCGGAGCAGAGACGGACGGCAGCCGGCGCGTCTGCGCATCTATCACCGCCGAAAAACTTCTCGCACTGTGGATCAATAATCTGATTATCACCTTTTATCACTTATTTTCCTTTTTGTGTCCTTTAACACAAATGCCACAAAGGAAAAGAAGAAGAAGAAGAAACCTCTCCACCAGCTGTTATTCTTCACCTTCTTCTCACTTCGCACCTACTCTGAGCGCTCGGGCGTCCGGCCAGCAGGAGGTCAGTTCACTTTATCATCAATTTAACATTTAATCACTTCTAATTATCTTTTAAACCATTTAATTGCTATTTTTTTGTACTGATTCATCAGGAGGGTGAGCGAAGAGGAATTCGGCTTCACTTAAATTAAAAATTTCAATAGCATTACTGCGATATTTGAGTTATCTGTCTCTGTTGTCCATGGTGAGTTTATGTGTCTTTGCTGCTTTACACTGAGTTTATAGTTACATTTATTATATATTATGACTTTATAAAAATATTTTAAGGCATTAAATGATTTTCTTCAGTGGACTAATGTTGTTTTTAGTGTTTCATGGTCACACTGCTATAATATCCTGCTGGAATTTAATTTAAATTTTAATAGATTTAAAGCGTTTCTGCACATTTTTTCCATAATTTTCAACTCTTTTCAGTCGCATCTGGTCTCTGTAGTTTATTGTCGCTCATATTCATTAAATATTAACACATTAAACTACAAACGCACGTGCGGCTGCGCCCTGAGGAGACAGCACACGGAGGAACAAAATAAATGGCTGCAAATGATAAGTTTGACAATTAGCGCTGTATTGTCACGTGTGTGCACGCGGGCAGCCACGCGCGTGCTCGCCTCCTCAGCCCAGGCTGCCAATAAGGTCATCTGATAAGCTGAAAATCCTCCTCACACACACACACGCGCGCGCGCGCGCGCACACACACACACACACACACACACACACACTCTGCAAGCTCCATTTAATTAGATGGAGGTGATTTTGTGTTTCTGTCTTCTCCTCACTTTAATGTCTACCTCTCCTCCTCCTCTTCCTCCCCCTTTCTCCTGCCTCCTTGCTCTCTTCTTTCCTTCCCTTACATCTCTTCATCGTCTCGCCTCCTCTTCCCTCTTTCCGCCTTTTCTCTCCCAACTCCTCCTTGTCTCCTTCACCTCCCTTTCTTCTTCCTCCTCCTCTTGTCCTCCCTTTTGTCTCTTCATCATCTTGTTCTCTTCCTCCTCTTCCTTCCTCTCTGCTTTTTCGTCTGCTTCCTTTCCTCCTTTTACCTCTCTCCACTTTTCTCTCCCTGCTCCTCTTCCTCCCCTATCTGTTGCCTCCTCCTTCTCCTCTCTTTCCTCTTCTTCCTCCTTGTTCTCTTCTTGTCCTCCCTTATGTCTCTTCTTCATCATCTTTCCCTCTTCACCTCACTCGCCTCCTCCTCCTATCTTCCCCCCTTTCTCTCCCTGCTCCTCTTCCTCCCCTATCTGTTGCCTCCTCCTTCTCCTCTCTTTCCTCTTCTTCCTCCTTGTTCTTCTCTTGTCCTCCCTTACACGTCTTCATCATCTTTCTCTCCAGCCCTCCTCCTCTTCCTCTTCTCTACCTTTTTGTCTCCTTCTTTTTCTCCTAACTTTTACCTCCTTTTCCCTTTCTCTCTCCTCACTCTCCTCTTCCTCCCTACCTCCTGCTTGTCTCCTTCTCCTCCCTTTCTTTTTCACTGCCTCCTCTTCCTCATCTTCCAAACTGTTTACTGTTTTCTCCTCTCTCATTTTACTCCTCATTTGCCTTTCTTCTTCTCTTCCTCCTTTTTTGTCTCCATCCGCTTTCCTTTGCCTCCTTTTCTTCCTCCTTTTGTTTCCCTTTTCCTTCCCCTATCTCCTGCCTCCATGTTCTCTTCTCTTCCTCCTTTACTCCTCTTCATCTTTTTTCTCTCCTGCTCTCTTCCTCTTCACCTCACTTGCCTCCTCTTCCCTCCCTCTACTTTTCTTCCTCTCTGCCTTCTTGTCTCCTTCCCTGCTAGCCTTTTCCTCTTTCCCCCTTTTCTCTCGACTCCTCTTCCTCCTCCATCTGCTGCCTCCTCCTTGTCCCCTTCTCCTCCTTCACTTCCCTTTCTTTCCTTTTCCTTGCCTCCTTTTCTTCCTCCTACTTCTGGTTTCTTTTCCTTCCCCTTTCTGCCACCTCTTATTTCTCCTCTTTTCTTCCCCTACTCCTCTTCATCATCTTTTTCTCCTGCCCTCTTCCCCTTCACCGTCCTTGCCTCCTTTTCTTCCTCCTCCTTTTGGTTTCTTTTTTGTCCCTCCTTTTCCTTCCTCCTTGCTTTCCTCCTCCCTTACTCCTCTTCATCATTTTTTCTCCTGTTCTTGCCTCCTCTTCCCTCCTTCCACTTTTCTTCTTCTCTGCCTTTTTGTCTCCTTCCTTCCTAACTTTTTCCTCTTTCACCCTTTTCTCTCCTGACTCCTCTTCCTGCTGCCTCCTCCTTGTCTCCTCCTCTTTGTTCTTCATCCATCATGTCTTCTTCCTCTTCCTCCTTTTTTGTCTCTATCTGCTTTTTATCTCCCTTCTGTGTTCCTCGCCTTCTCCTTCTCTTCCCTTTCTTTCCTCCTCCTTCTGGTTTCTCTTCTTGTGCCTCCTTTTCCTTCTCCTTTCTGCCGCCTCTTATGTCTCCTCTTTTCTTCCCTTACTCCTCTTCATCGTCTCTTTCACCTGCCCTCTTCCTCTTCTCCTTTTCCTTCCTTCTTCCTTTTCTCCTTTGTGCATAATCCTTCCTTCAACTATTCCTCTCTCCTTTTATGTCTCCTTGCTTTCCTCCTAACCTTCCTCCCCCTGTTCCTCACCTCCTCTTCCTCCTCTTGTTTTTTTGTCCTCTTTCCTGTTTTCTCCTCTTCAGTTCATCCTCCTCTTCTTCCTCTTATCACATCTTCTTCCTACTTCTTTGCTGTCTTCTTCCTCTACTAACAAACACATGCTCACAAAGTGATTTGAAAGTGACACACACACACACACACACACACACACACCAGCCCATAAGCCTTAAAACTAGCATGTCATCATTTCTCCAGCTCTGTGCAAAGGTGCGCTCCATTTTGTAATTAATGGCCGCTCAGCACAACACACACACACACACACACACACACACACACACACACACACACACACACACACACACGCTTCCTTGCTAATGTATAGATGTGAACCACCACTCTGTCCTTCACGCACAAACACTTCAACATCTTGTTCTTCCAGAGTATTGAGCTGTTATTTTCCCGTACTGCGTTGGTGTACAGTAATTACGGGGACCTCACTCATTAACAAACGCAACATCTCCATTTATGATGTTGCGGGGCTGCACAGAGAGCAAAACATGTACTACTTCCTGTTTTATTTTGTCGATCCTCTCCTCACACCTGGCTCGTTAGTCCCTCCCTGTTCCCTTCACACCTGTGTTAGTCTTGTTTAGATAAGAAATGAGCTCTCTAGCGCCCCCATTCTGTTTGATGGGGTCAATAATGGAGGGGTCCCCTCAGATTATGTGTGGTCATATGCCTACAAAGTTGCGTGGTGATGGGTGAAACCCTTGAGATGTTATACACCTTTATGTGATGAGCCAAGATTTAAGGGGTAGAAATGGGACAGGCCCTAAGAGTAGAGAGGGTGTGTAGATATGAAGGAGTTCAGACAGGTAGGAAGGGGCGTGGTTATGAAGGGTCCTAAAGGTGAGATGTAGAATCTTGAAATCCATATTTAACAGGAAGCCAGTGAAGCTGCCGGAGAACAGGAGTGATGTGACCTATGGGGAAGGTTAGGGTGATGATATGAGCAGCTGAATTCTGGACCAACTTGAGGATAACACTTTACAATAAGGTACACAAAATTAGACTAGTTACTGAGGAACTAAGGAGAAACTAATGAGTAGTAACTGAGGAACTAATGAGGAACTAATGAGTAGTTACTGTGGAACTAAAGTACACAAAATTAGAGTAGTTACTGAGGAACTAATGAGGAACTAATGAGTAGTTACTGTGGAACTAAAGTACACAAAATTAGACTAGTTACTGAGGAACTAATGAGTAGTTACTGAGGAACTAATGAGGAACTAATGAGTAGTTACTGAAGAACTAATGAGGAACTAATGAGGAACTAAGGAGTAGTTACTGAAGAACTAATGAGGAACTAATGAGTAGTTACTGAAGAACTAATGAGGAACTAATGAGGAACTAATGAGTAGTTACTGAAGAACTAATGAGGAACTAATGAGTAGTTACTGAGGAACTAATGAGGAACTAATGAGGAACTAATGAGTAGTTACTGAAGAACTAATGAGGAACTAATGAGTAGTTACTGAGGAACTAATGAGGAACTAATGAGGAACTAATGAGTAGTAACTGAGGAACTAATGAGGAACTAATGAGTAGTTACTGTGGAACTAAAGTACACAAAATTAGAGTAGTTACTGAGGAACTAATGAGGAACTAATGAGTAGTTACTGAGGAACTAATGAGGAACTAATGAGTAGTTACTGAAGAACTAAGGAGTAGTTACTGAGGAACTAATGAGGAACTAATGAGTAGTTACTGAAGAACTAAGGAGTAGTTACTGAGGAACTAATGAGGAACTAATGAGTAGTTACTGAGGAACTAATGAGTAGTTACTGAGGAACTAATGAGGAACTAATGAGTAGTTACTGAAGAACTAAGGAGTAGTTACTGAGGAACTAATGAGGAACTAATGAGTAGTAACTGAGGAACTAATGAGGAACTAATGAGTAGTTACTGAGGAACTAATGAGGAACTAATGAGGAACTAATGAGTAGTAACTGAGGAACTAATGAGGAACTAATGAGTAGTTACTGAGGAACTAATGAGGAACTAAGGAGTAGTTACTGAGGAACTAATGAGGAACCAATGAGTAGTTAATGAGGAATTAATTATTACTTAATCATTACCTACTCTTTTTGTGTACCCTGAAGTAAAGTGAGACATCAAAATGAGTAGGTAATGATTCAGTAATAGTTAGTTCCTCATTAGTTCCTCAGTAATTACTCTAATTTTGTGTACCTTATTGTGAAGTCTTACCCAGCTGGAGTTTATGAGGACATACGAGATACGAGATTCAACCAAAAAATGAACGAGAGATGTAAGTGACGGACGAAGACGATTGATATTTCGTAGATGAAAGCATGCATGCAGACCGAGTGACATTATTCATGTGGGCCTGAAAGGACAGTGTAGTGTCCAGGATGACACCCAGACTCTT